GATCAAGATCCGACCCACGTCAAAATTGCGCCAGGCGCAATTTAAGAGACAATTTCGATTTTTTTGAGTTATGGATTAGGGCTTTCGTGGGCTTTATGTGGGTTATGTTTAAATGGGCTTTRGGTTGTTTTTAAATCAAAAAGAGGCCCAATTTTAAACCCAATTATGTCTTTAATAGCTTTTAAAACATAAAACAAAAAGCCCTAGAATTTGAAAACACCCCATTCACGATTTTTACCATAATTTTCTCACTTGTTTTCAAATCTTCTCTCAAGAAATCTCAAAGATTCTCAAAATCCCTTTCATCTCTCTCTTTTTCGGCACTTTTAGGGTTTATTGGAGGGATTTTCATTGTCGATCGTGAAGCAAACTCAAGAACCATGGAAGGTTCATCTTCCTCCAAGCCACACGACAAAGAGAAGGAAAAGAAGAAAGTGTTGTTGCCTCCACCAACCAAACCGGGTATGATTCCTCTTGAACCTCCTAGGATTTCTCATGAAAAGTTAGTTTTTGATCCTAGGGAACAAAGAAGAAAATATGAGGAAGCTATAAGAATGAACCCTAGGAGAAATCAATACTTAGGTGGTACAAATTCTAAAAAAGTTAATATGGAATCTAAGGATGCTAGGGTTAATAAAGAAGGTCATAGTGAGAAGAAATTAGGAGGAGTTAATAAAGTCTATCTTCGAAAAAATCAACCACACAAAAATGTGAGAAAGAGAAAACTCGATTAAGCACTGTATCTACAACACTATTGTTTAACATAAAATCACTAAGTCCCCGACAATGGCGCCAAAAACTTGTTGCGTCCACACAACTGTGCTGACAACACGTGTAAATATACACGAAATTACCAATTGTAGTATTAAACAAGGTCGAATCCACAAGGACTTTGGATAATATTTTAAACTATATTCACAAATACCAAAAGTGTAAAAACAAAGAACTATGGATATTTTGTCGTAACTAAACAAATATAATAAACAAAGCAGTAAAAATCTCAATAGCAGACACACTTCGTAGAGTTGAAAACAAGAAGAAGAAGCAGCACATAATGCGAAAAAAGGGAAGTTAACAGATATGGAGATTCAACATGCACCCATAGAATTCTCAACCTACCCTCTAGCTCACTAATACTCTTTAATGCCCAACTCGACTTGGTTCCCTTCCGAGACACCCAAACATGGATACCCACAACTCTCGTTGCTAAGTTTCCAAGCAATAAAAACAAGTTCTAGGAATGATTAGGGGACCCTATTCCTGAGAATCCACAAATATTATAGAAAAGTACTAATCATTAATGAAGCAAGTTAGCAAACTGTAAGTCCTCCTGGGTCAATACAGAAGCTAGCAAACAGAACAAAGCGACCAACAATGCTCAATAAGATATAAGAAATAAACACAGCTTAATTCAAAAACTAATATAGCAGCTAGAAGTTTGGTTTCATAGCAGTTACAACATATGAATCTCCCCCGAAATGGGGTTTAGCTCATGAATGAAGAAGAAAATACAATGGGTAAAAGAAGAAGACAACCCATCTTAGGGAAATAGCAAAAAAGTCAAAGAAGAAGATGATGACAGATCAAAACTATAGTGGAATATCCCTTCCGTCATCAGCTTTCTGCCCCCAAAAATGGAAAGAGTCCTCCTCCTTGTCGTTTCAACTCTAAAAAACGTGCTTCTATTGGGATCTGTGTGTGGCGGCTAGGGTTAAATGTCTCTTTTATATAAGGTTCCGTTTTTAGGGTACCCAGCTGAAATTTGTACGGACACGGTAAATCTCGTGTCTGGGCTATTACTGTGCAGTAAATCCATGTTCCAGCTCTGCTTCGCTCCAGCTTTCATCTGTTCTGTCTTGAAAATGCCTTGCTACTCTTTTCTGGATTTAGCACTCTCTTTATGTTTAGTCTTCTGCTTCTAAACATGTGCGTTTAAACCAAAAATAAGAGCATTTAGTGCAATATTTAGCTAAAACATTCAAGACCTAGGACTTTTATCTTAGATTCCATTTTCTAATCCCATCTAGGCTAATTAAGAACCAAAACTGGCACACCTTGACATTTCTTTGCATAAAAACACCCAAATATACACTAGAATAACTCTCTTTTAGAGAGTTGTCATTGCCTAAAAAGCTTATTAATGATCTTCACCATATGATTGCTTGTTTCTGGTAGGGAGCGGGCATGGAAGACAGAAAGATTCAATGGGTGGGGTGGAAAATCCTGTGTAAACCAGAGTTCTTGGGAGGAATGGGTTTTCGTGGCTTGGAGCTTTTTAATAAGGCACTTCTTGCAAAAGAGTGTTGGAGAATCCTTAATAACCCATCTTCAATTTTGACTAGGGTCCTCAAGGGGCGGTACTTTAAATCATGCGAGTTCATGCAAGCTAAGGTGGGGTGGAACTCGTCATTTATTTGACGTAGTCTTGTTTGGGGGCGTGACCTTTTGAAAGAGGGTTCTCAGTGGCAGATAGGAAATGAGGATAGTGTGAGAATATATAGTGATAAATTGATCCCTAATCAACCTCTGTTACAAATTTGCTCCTCGGCTCCATGTGAATTCTAGAGTCAGAAGCTTAATTGATCCTGAAACGACTCAATGGCGTAGGGACACAATCTAGGAAATTTTCTCTCCTGATGAAGCAAAAAGCATTCTATCCATTCCCATTGGAAGAGATAGAGGGGGTGATAGGCTCATTTGGCATCATGAAAAAACCGATATTTATACGGCCAAGAGTGGTTACAGAGTGGAGATTATGCAACAGCCCTGTCTTAAAGCTTCTAATTCCTCTACTGAGCATATGATGGCTTGGTGGAAGAAAATTTGGAGGTTGAAAATCCCATGCAAGATTAAAGTTTTTCTTTGGCGTCTTTGCCTTGATAGGCTGCCAATTGGGGAAAATCTCGCTAAAAGGGGGTGGATGTACACAATTGTTGTTTCTTTTGTGAAAGAAAAGGAGAAGACGCCTACCACTTGTTCTGGGCTTGCAAGCACTCAAAGCAAAAATGGGCAACCTTCAGATTTGCTAATCTCACTGATTTGGAGGACCATTATAGTGTGTTTCTCTTGCTTAGAGTTTGGCAAGAGAGTTTGGGTGACGTGGAATTTGAGGAGCTAGTCATTTTTATGTGGGGTATTTGGTTCCAAAGTAATTCGATGGCCTTTGGTCAAAATGGAGGTGCTTTCAAGGGGGATTTAATCGATCTTAACGACTGGATAGAGGCGTATCTCTCAGCCTATAGAACAGCAAATATAAATCCTTCTACCCAGCTCCAACAACGCAATGAAATTAACGAAACAAATGCTTTGGGTTGGAGCCCCCCAGATGAAGGGGGTTTCAAAATCAACACGGATGCTTCCTTTTCTCCTACCGATATAAATGCAGGGTTGGGTATAATTATCAGAAATCACAGAGGACAGGTTATGGTTATTGCAACAAATTATCTAGAGAATGTCCTAACGGTGGATGAAGTGGTGGCTGAAGGGCTTCAGTTGGTGTCGGAGTCCAACTTACATAAAATTCAGCTGGAAACAGACTCACTTCGAGTGTTCCATCTTCTTCAATGTGGAAAACCTATCGAAAACTGGGGTTATTATTTCACATGCATTAGCTTCTCTGCCCCCTAATGTACAAATCAACTTCAGATTTACAAAGAGAGAGAAATAGAGCAGCACACTTGCTGGCACGTCGAGCAAGTCATTGGCAAGAGCATTTGGTTTGGATTGAAGAGTGGCCGCCGGAAATGGAAGACCTGTTGGCCTCAGAGTGTTCGGACAGCCTGAGTTAATTTTGGAGAAATTGACTCAAATGACCCTTTGGTAAAAACTTTTTGTTCAAATGACCCTCTCCCTTTTATTATGCCCTAATGACCCACTTGAATATTAAATTAATTTTTTAAGGTAGCGAAATTACTATAGTACCCTTTGTTCAAAAAATTGAACCATTCTAACTTTCCCCATTTCTCTCCATTTTCAGTGGTCGTTCGTCTTCTCCTTCTCCGTTCGTCTTCTCCTTTTCCGTTTGCGTGAGTCGTCTTCTCCTTCTCCGTTCACGTGAGTCGTCTTCTCCCGTTCCGTCTTCATTCAAAATCGCTCGAGGTAAGTTCAATTTTTCCACTGCCCCGTCGGGTTAGGGCTGCGTTTTTTCATGTTGAATGGGTTTTTTTCTGTTGATTCATGAACACCAGCACTGTACCTTGTTGACCATGTACATGAATGAGTGTTTTCGCTGTTCGATTTTACTTTATTTTGTTCGTTCCATTATTTATGGGTTTTTCCTTCATTGTTGTTCTGCTGAAATTGATTTTTGAGCTGAAATTGAGTTTTGAGGTATGTGGGAGGGAACCGTTCTAAGTGTGTTGGGAGGTTGAAGAAGGAGGAGAGCTCTGCTATTTTTGTCGGGTCGATCTCGGGCAAGGTTGAGCACGAGGTATTCGTCAGATGCTTGAGCCTGAACCTCGAGATTCCTCAAGGTAAGCTCGAGGTTGGATTTCTTTCAAGTACCTCAGGTTGACCTCTAGCGAGGTTGAGCCCGAGGTATTTGAAAGAAATCCAACCTCGAGGTTACCATGTTACCTTGAGGTAACCTCGAGGTTCAACGTCTTTCGAATACGTTGGGCTCAACCTCATCCAGGTCGAACCTGGG